ATATCGAAGAAGGGGCAATTCACACGGCTATTATACTATTGTCTTGTACATACAACTATGCTGAAACAACTGGCACTTCTCTTTAGTCCGTCTACTGCGTTAAACCAGTGTACACGTATATTTTTCTTGCTCTCTAAGTTTTTTTTTTTAATACAGTTTATCTAAAAGTGCTTAAAAATAATTTTAAACATGGCTGATTCTTTCACCAACAACGATGCCCTATACAAAAAGAAGAATTATAAGTACGTTCCTCCGACACCGCCTGCAGAACTGATTGATTCTACGTCATACACATTGGACTTCACCGGCCGTAAGTTTTTGAATGTAGGACTTGATCCTACAGACGAATTCAATATCGTAGTCCAAATAATCACACCATCGCGGTGTGTAAATATGCCAGCCGATTTTTTAAGACGTATACTTTCCCTGATGGGAAATATATTGTCATTTATTTTGAATCAACCGCAAAAATATAAGCGAAATTTATTTCTGGAAACCGAAATTATTTCGCTGTCTATTATGGTGTATCAAGGGGAAAATATGCTTGTCATCGAATCAAAAACACAAGTCGGGTGCCGAGTACTGTTGAATCGCGCGGACCTAATACAGTTGCAATATTTGGAGTGGTGTATTTTCGAAACAGTCGTTCGAAAGTCAACCATCATACGACCACTTGTCTTAAATCAATTTGATACGTTTTTAAACTATATCGACCAAGAATTCACCAAAATGGATTCCCCGCCTAGAACTAACGAAGAAATGATCACATTTATTAAAAATGTACGCGACGAAAGTGTAATTGCAAAAAATGATATAAACTTTGTTAGCCAGCTGAAAATGTTTGCAACCAGCCAATTAGCTGAACAATGGGCACAACGATTGAATGGTGGAATGTCACCCGAGGTAATTTAACTTTTAAATTATATCACTTGTAAAATATTTAATGTATTTTATTATTTTATAGTTGTTCACTGAATCCGAGGTTAGACTCATTTCGCCGCCTCAATACTCAACTATGTATGATGATAATGATTTTCCACAATCAAGGGTAAATTATAACTTATATTATACCGCGCGGTCTTATTGTCACCTTTTTTCATCCTGTGGTCTTATTGTCTCAATACGATGTTTTTTCAAAATGCAATTTTCTTAACCCTGTGACCCACTTGGGGAGGTGTTGCACAGCAAGTCGGGGGATATTTTCGATTTGCGGAGCGGAGCGACGGCGCCGAGGAGCGTAGTGACGAGTGCCGGCAATCATGGCATCACTGTACGATGTTTTTAAAATACGAGGTCTTATCCTGAATATATTATAAATATAATTATTCTCACCTGAAGAGGTCTTAATGTCACCAATAAATGTAAATGTGGTCTTATTGTCTAAACGGTAGTCTAATTGTCACCTCGTTGGTCTTATTGTCACCTGTGGTCTTATTGTCCCGATGTCTTATTGTCACCATGCCTATATATATATTGAAAAATAATACAATTAATAATTATAATAATTATTTAGGGAGCTTACGAGGAGAATGGTATCGATGAATTTTTAAATCAAATCAACCCTACACAGGTGACATGGGCACCAACAAAACCATCGGTAATACTCACATTTAATTTTTAAAATAAATATATATATTAATAAATTATTATTTGTATAGCCCTGCTGTTGACGATCCATCATATTTCAACCACCCGCCATCTATTCTAGGCGGCAAGCCCACGAAAAAACGGAACCCAAAACGCAAACTCTCTTTGAATGATATTGTTTAAATAATTTTGTGTGTGTGAAATAAAAACAAGGGTGATATTTTAAATCAAGTTATCTAATTAATTAGAAAATAAGGTACTAATTACAAGGTATAAAATATTTACAAGATATAAAAATATTTACAAGGTATAAAAATAATTATAAGGTCTAAAATAGAGTTATATATAAGGTTTACAACTTTCTAAAATCTCCGCTAAAGGGATTATAAGTTATAATCTGGTCACGTAGTATTAAACAATAAGCTGCAGTTTTTTCTGGAATAATTGTATCCGTTTCAAATTCAATTCGTAGGTCTACGGTCGATGATTTAACGTTATCGTCCTGGTGTGACAAATCAACAACGATGATTGGAACATAATTTTGAAAAATATATTTTGATAATAATGGTTCACAATAATCTCTTTCGTAATACGATTTTTGAAAGTCTGTATAGGCTTTGTAGAGTATGCTGGTGGTATTATTTTTAAAATCAGCGCGAAAGTCTTCATACGGGAACACTTCAGAATTTAAGTGAACCTTAAGATTTTTTAGTTGACAGTGATCGAATCGACCAGTGTCGTTTTCGATATTTTTTTTTCGATCTGTTTGCAATCCAAACAGCTTAAATCTCGGCTTTTCGAGCAAGCTGCTAGACTTTACTGTCCACGAATGAGAAGTATTTCTAGGGAGCACAGGATACTCACAGAGATCCCAGGTTCTGAACGCACACGATAAAGTTTTACGAGAATCTTATACTTTCAATAACTTTAATTTTTCTTTATCACTGATTTTGATAATAGGCATCTTCCAGGTCACCTTAGTCAGTTCAATTGTAATTTTTTTATTTTTATCAACGGCTTTGGTTGGTCACCAACAACGTGTATCGCATCCAGTTCGGTAGATGCCCGATTTAAAATCAGTTGCTGATTACAATTAAGTAATATTTTTTTATAGTCTTCACAAAATCCGAATAAATGTTTTAGAGGGATACACCCGGCAAATACATAGTTGCTCATAAAATTTTTATTATCTTCACTGTCCATTGCCGAGTCCCAAGCAGCGTTCTCTAGAGTATTCAAATCGTTTGGAGTATACGAGCAGTATGCTTTCAAGCAAGAAGACACTCCAGGTGATTTCAATTTCTGTATTTTTATTCCGTTTATTTCATATCGCATCTCGGAGAATAAAAATGCTAATCCGTTATTTGAAAAACGAACATCTCCAGCAGCATCGGTAAGTTTATTTATTTTCCCCTCAATGTATTTACATGTATTTACAATGTATATTTCTCACACGGCAAAGTGTAAGAATCCATGTTTTGAACATTAATTCTAATTTCTTCATTGTATGATAGAGCGATGCTTGAATACGGTGTGAACGAATGGAAACTCTTTTGAGTTATTTTACAATCATCGACATAGTCGGCCGTCACGTCTAAATATGAGTCATCCATCATTGTAAAGAACGAAGAAAACTTAAACTATTTTTCGTGAGCTTGATATTTTTCGGTTTAGATGTAGACTTCTTAACGGCAGGCGGTATACTGATAGGTTTTTGACTGTAGCTCTTTTTATATTAAATTTGAGTACCATATCCACGCGTTATTTGTAAACGAATTGTTATCGGTTCACCACGCAGATTAATCAGACAATCGTTCTGATCTTTTAGCACGATATTTACTTTAGTTATTGAAGTCGTGTTGAGACCATAAAAAACTGGATGCCTAGGTACCTCAACGATTTTATATCCCGCAGGTACAGTATGATAAAGCTCGTGTAACACCTCTCCGTCACAGAATGAGCCGGGGATTAAATTACACTCTACTTTTATACAGTTTATTTTCATTATGTTGACAATATTTTCAGGTTCATGAGTAGCACCAGTAGTGTATAGTACATTTCTAAAACCTAGCAATTTCGCTATACTATTCTCAACTCCTAAATCAACATCATGGCTGCACGATATCATACACTTTAATGTTCTGCTGTTTGCTTTTAATTCAAACATACTGATATACTCAGGCATCATATTTTGTATAATAGACTCTAACTGATTCAATTCATATGTTCCCGTAGGTATAATTACGTACTCATTTTCATTGATCAAATTACGGAAGGCAATAGTATTGCAGCCAGGTTCTATGTTTGGTAAAGAATTATTCGTCTGTAAACTCAAAAGACATATCTGTGCAGTATTTTCTACTTCCAACGGTGGAAAGATCTCGCATGATAACTCACTAGAGTTTCCGTTTAACGTTAATGTGAACATGATAAAAATTTTAAACTCAACCCACACAGCATGAAAATAATTATTTAAAATTTATTAAACATTTGAAAAAAAATTAACTTATTTATTAAATATTTTATTTTGATCAATGGTTAATTGTAAAATGTTTAATAAACTATTATTAATCATGTTTTGAACCCTTTTGCATTTTGAGATAAACATTTAAAAGTCAACATTACATAAATAGTGGTTAATTGTATTTATTCAATATTGGTAAACAAAATAAATGTTGCATTTATATGTTTTAACGGTGAATAAATGTTCCATAACGATTAATGTTTATTTACTAAACATGTAATAATTTTTCATAGATTTTTAATAATTATTGAAAATCATGTATTTTTAGGTTTTTTTAAATTTTAAATAAGTATATAATATTAATATATTATTATTACTATATAATATACTTAGGTTTAAATATATAAATATGCATCGTCTTACAGTGGCGTGTTGAACTACTTTTACTTAAGGAGCGAAGTTTCTTACATACCACCCACCCACCTATTTTATTAAACCCTACATGCCAAAACCGATCGCTTCGCTCGCATTGTCACTATACAGTTTATTTTGATTATTGCCCCCCCTCCCTTTATACTGCATTAATATTTAAATTCTATACAAATATAGAAAAGTAGTTTTTTTTTATGATGATTTATAATCACTTATTAAACAGTTTTGATCAATTTTACAGATGTAATTGGTTAGGGTAGGTTAGGTATGGATATCAATTTAATTCCCATATTTAAAAATGATAATTGCTTCATAATACTTTATTATAACATTATATTATACTCAACTTAAGTCTCATTAATTTTTAACATTAATTAAAATAAACTATTAGTTAACTAAAACTTAATTCATTAAATACTTAAGTCACTATACGTCTTAATGTACAACTGTATAAAGATGTTTCTTAATAAATAAATAATAATTCATACATTTAATTATTTTAACAAGATATAATTTGTTACTTATATAGTAATGCCTCTTGTAGTAGTTTAGAGGTATTGGCATATTTGTTTATTGCTTCATCAAGGTTAATAATTACATCTTTTTCGCATGATAAGAGCATCAAACTGTCAAGACGTTTTTGTACCATTGTTGAACGAATTCTAGTCTTAATCAATTTTAATTTAGAAAAAGTCCTTTCGCTACTGACTGATGTAGCTGGTATGGTACACAAAAATTTATATGCCATGTACATATTAGGAAATGCAGATATCAAGTTAAATGTATTTAATAACTTTAATACATTTAAAACTGTCATTTTAGTTTTATTTTCTTCACTATTGCCTTCATCTGTATCAACGCTTGTATCCTCATCTGATTCACTTATTATTACCTTTTCATGCAATTTTTCAATTTCTATGTTTGATTTCAATTTAAGGAAACTGTATGCAAAAGTTGAATACTCCAATTTTAATTGATCAATTTGTACATTTGGAATCCACTTATCAAGATACACAAAATTATCTTCAGGTATTGGACATCCTTTACTTGCAGCAATGAGTCGATCGACTGAAAGAAGGGACAAGTCGGATAAAATTTCTCGTGATCCTTCAAATCGGCTAGTTATAGATGTACATATTTGATCTAAGACAGTGAAATAAACTTGTATTTTAAAATTATCCTTGGCATTTGATACTATTTCATCGTTGGTTTTTTCTCCAGCCATTTTTTTCCGTCTCTGAACCCGTTTTTCTGGAAACCATACTTCTTCCAGTTCATTTTCCAAGGAAAACGTTTTGGCTTCAGCCAATAAAACATCTAACTGTTGTTCATTTCTTAGTTCAGACAATTTCTTAGCACAATTATCAACCATAGTTAATACAGTGATGAAATCCAATGATAGCGATTGTAAATACATGGATAATGGAGTTGTGTGCTTAAAGATATTTTTCATTAATAACAAATGTGTAACAAACTGGAATGAAGAAATAGTAGACAATAAATTTGTTGCCACTGAAGATGTATCGCGTTCAGTTGAGTTTGATAACTCTTTTAACGTATTAGTAAGTGCTTTATATTTTTCAAATATAACTGTCAAAGCACGGCCATGAGATGTCCAGCGTGTAGTAGAAAAATTTTTCATTCTACAGACTCTTTTTTCTGGATAACATATTTTTTGATGATTTAAAAAAACTGCAGTACGTTTTCTTGCTCTTAAAAAAGCTATCAATGATTGTAGATCTCCAAAAAAATTTCTCATAGTTTTACTTGTATCACAAGTGTCCACCACAACAAGATTTAAAATATGAGAAAAACACCAGACATATATTGCACGAGGATTTTTTTCTTGAATATATGCACGAACACCAGAGTATTGGCCTTGCATGGACGATGCCCCATCATATGATTGTGCACACAGTTGCTTTTCCCAATCAATATCATATTTTTGACAAATATTACACAAAACATTAAACATACCAATACCTCTTGCGTCTGATACAGTTTCTAAAGCAACTAATCTTTCTTCTACTTCTTCATTTTCATTTATAAACCTAATTACTAATGAAAGTTGCTCTAAATTAGAAACATCTGTTGTGGTATCTATAATGAATGAAAATACTCCAGATTTTTTAATTTTAATTAAAATTCTTTCCCGAACCATTTCACCAAGAACATGGAGCATATTATTTTGGCTTAGGTTGGATAAAAATGTTAGTCGATTTTTTTTTTTTGAATTTTGAATTTTTGTTAAGTGAGACGAAAGTGTTGGATTATATTTTGATATAAATTTAATCAGTTCAATAAAATTGCCTTGGTTATTTGATGTCCAAGATTCATCGCAGCCTCTAAACGCAATATTTTGACGAGCAAGGTAGATAAGACTTTCAAAAATTACTCTAACAATTTCCCTATTTTCAGCAACATTTCTGTTTGAGGATTCAAAAATTGTACTAACCACTCTTTGATTACTTACAAACATGGCTCTTCGAATTTCAGACTCTAAATGGACACTATTTGATTCATGTGATTTAAGCTTGAATGATATATGGCTCCAATCATCAGAACCGAACCGCGCTAGTTGATGGCTTTTTGCATCTTCTTTACCGAATTGTTTGCAAACAATACAGTAAACCTTATCTTGCGATGGGGAATAGGAAATCCAAGTTCGCTTAACAAATTCACCGTTTGGAAGTTTTTTATAATAATGTTCCTCATGAAAAGAACGCAACCATTTGCCTTGCATTCTAGTTGGAAATATACACCCTTTTAACTCAGATGCTTTAGGTTGACACGGTTGTAAAGCAGCAACATAAGCAAACTGTTCTGGGGACATTTTTGAATCTAGTACTATTGATGGATCATTTGGGAATTGAAAATGTCTGACGTCCTGCTCGACAATGTTACTAATATCTGTTAAAATAATAAGTGACATCTGAATTAATTAACAGTTTTATTTTAAAATAAAAAGTCAACGTAAATTTAAAGTTTAAACTACATTTATTTGACTGCCTTTTTAAAAAAAATAAATAAACTTTAATATATAAATATTAATTTTCAATTAAATAAATTAAAAATTAAATTATACCTTCAACGTCTCCAGTTGATAACTCATTACATTGATTTTCATCAGAACAGACGCCATACAATATGTTAGAGTTAGACGATTCATCAACTACATTCATTTTACTGCCTTTTTAAAACAAAATAAATAAATGTGTAAATTACTTAGTTTATGATATTAATATTTAGTATGCAATATTTTAATGGAATGCAAGTACACGCTTATGAAAATACTATAAATAAACTTACAAGAAGCTATTGAGTTAGTTACCAAATCAATAGGTGCTACTATTGTGTTAGCATTGCCAGTATTCAATTTATTTAATGGGGTAACAGGAGATCCATAGTTTGAAGTAGCGGTTGTAATTTTATCTTTCAGTGTATCTATTAACAAAATAAAACCTCTTACATATGTCTTAAAGTACATCTAAATCTTAAAAATCTAATATAAAGTAAAGTCAAGCCTCTAGAGAAACTATAAAATAAGTTTTTCTAAATACATAGGTAATAAGTAAACTTTAAAGTATTATTGTTCTAATTTAAAAATTATTAGAATTCTAGTAAAATTAGTCAAATAAGATATATAGTACAATATACTTTAATTAGGTAGGTAATTAATAAATAATTATTCTAAATTGTGTTTAACTATTGTTTTTTTTTTATTGCTAAATAAAATAGAAAAATTACCTTTTGGTAGAGATAACCGGACTTCATCTTCATCATTAATAGTTCTTTTTTTTGTCATATAAGACAATAGACTAGTTACAGTTTTTGAACTTTTAAGTTTTGAAACATTGCATGCAGTTTGATGACGTTTCCAGTTTGTATCATTCATTTTTTGCCTTTTTCTTCCACATAAACACAGATTATTGTTTTCTGACATAGTTTAAAATTTTATAACCAGGTTAAATTTTAAAGTAACTGAACCGAACAATAAAAAAACACGAAAAATACTTCAACACTAATACACTATATAATATTATGCTGTGTGTTGCATAATGTATAATGGAATAATGGATATTATATTACAAAATATGCAGAAAGTGGCACTGTGGCAGTAGTCGCGGTCGATCTGTCTCTAGTATCTACTATCTGTACTCTGTAGGCTATAAGCCTGTAGCAAATTGTCGACAGCGTTGTTGACATGTTTTCTATATTTACAGCAAGCGGGCTAAGTTCAGTGAATTATTTTGATAACAAATTCAGTTAGGGATTCCCCATTCCCATTCCCGTATGTTTTAAAAATAGAACTGATAACTGGATTGAATGTCTGATAATATTTTAATACATTACACATGGAATGTAGATAACGAAACTGTTTTGTACGTACTACGACAGTTGTACGACTGTCTTTATTATAGAGAAAAACAACATACGTAGGTAGTACGTATTATATTATTATAAGTTATTATAAGTTATGCCATGTAGTAAATTGATGATCACAAAATTACAATTCTATTCTTCGTATAAGCAAAAAAGTACCCACGGGCCACGACCCACCCAATTATTAACCACCCACCCTTCAAATATTGAAGGAGCGACCGCTCCTTAAAAACATTGTCAACACGCCACTGTCGTCTTATATAAAATGTGTGTTTTAATTATTCATTTATGCTTAGATATTCAATTTGATATACATGAATTAAAACTCCCACCGTTATTATATATATATTTATCATCTTGCAACGCACCATTTTCACGATTCAAGAAAAAATGTTGAATACTAAAATAAGTCACAGTTAAAAATACTTTAGGTGAAATTACATAGTTAACTCTTTTGAGATTTAAAAGTTTTCAAGAGAATTTTATTAGGCTAGTTCAGACACTGTTAATGATTTATATCCAACAAGTGTGGTAAATCGTATTTGTACATAGTTTAACTAAATTTTATGCCAATGATTTATTTATGCTTTAAATTTAAATTTATATTTAATAACACTAATTTGTCTCTATCTATAGCTAGGCTTTAAATTATAATAACATATATTATGTATATCTAATTAAATATCTATACTGCAGTCATATTAAATTGATTATCACTTATAATATTACCTATAATAGGTATATCTATTATCTATATATTTTTATGTTTAGATTTTAAAGTTTAATTTTGCTTACAGTAAATATATTAACAATAATATTCAAGAGTTGAAAAGTTATATTGTTATATTTATTATATAATTATTACAAAATTTAATATTTAACATATTATTAATATTATGCTGTTGATATATTAATACATAGGTACTTAATATAATTATATTTAAAAAAAATATCATAGTAGTTATTAAATAAAATAATTATAGTATTGCAATAGTTATAAAAGGGTAGATTATATTTTTTGTGTTTTTCTTTTTATGTTAAAAGGCGCTTGTGCTAGGACATATTTAATCACTTCTTCCATTTCACTTTCAGAAACTTTATTTTTATACTTAGATTGTTGTTTCACAGCATCTGAAACAAAATATTTACTAAATTAGCATACCTATATATATTACAAAATAAAATATTTATTGAAATTACAAATGGATATTATAAATATCTATAATCATTAGATGTAAGGCCATTTTGTAAATTATCTTACCTAAAATTACAGAACAAACAGCTAAATTTGAAAATTTTAACTTCTTGCCAGATTTTCCTGAATATGAAAAATGTTGTAATAACTCATCTGAAAATAGCTTGTTCATAATTCTTTTGATCATCGATTTGTAATGTTTTCCACCAATATAACTTAGTTGGTTAGTCTTACATGAAACAAAAAATAACAGTATCTACTTTTTATTCAACTATCCAAGTATATAGGTTTATCTATATACAAGCAAATCAACAATTAATAATTTAAAATATGGCGTACACTGAAAAAAAAATTAATTCTGATAACCAAATTATGGTTACCACAACAGTGAAAAGTAGTTGGCTCAGGGACAGCAGTAATTTCGGTTAAGATTACAAGTCATTATTGGTTGGCTGTTATTAGTTGATTTTACAAGAGCAATTGTGTTTACTACAAAACGTTATCTGGTAATGCTTGCAGAAATAATGTAACAGAAACACATACATTCCTGTTTATATTACAGAACACAAAAAATATTTTCTGTAGGCATAACAAATGTATGTTTTATATTATTGTTGAGGGAACAATATATAACCATGCGAGCAGCAAATTATTATGTAATGATAACAAAATAGTCATGTTAGACATACTATACAACCAAATTTAATTGTTTGTCGTACAAATTATTTTGTAATATACACATACATTTTTGTAGTAGTAAATATAGTTTTCACTGACTGTTTCAACTTTTTTAGCAGTCAATATTAATCAACCTATTGTATTAGGAAAAGGGTGCATAAATAACAATCATTGTTGGATAGTTTTACATTTGTATTGTTTCATATATTGTAAACTAAAAAAAAATTAAATACAAATATTACATTAATTTTACATATCAAATAATATTCTCCATTCATACAAAATCTGTTCTAATAGATTAATAAAAAACTTTTTTACCTAATAAATAATAATATACAAGATTTGAGAGTGAATTCAATATTAAAAACATACATAATAAATCTATTTTATTTTATATTTATTTACATTTCATAGATAGGTAGTCAATTTAAAACTAATAACATAAATTACATATAAGATAATTTATTAATATTGTTGATATTAAAAATGTTGCAATACAAGATGTGAAAAATACATTACAAAGAACTCCTTAATGTTATATACCTAGTTCCATCTGCATTAATATTTATATGATTTGGTATAGGAGAAATTATAGAATTTTGGAAAATAAAATTATTACCAACTACTAATTCATCAAATCTTACTTCATAAGCGGAAACATGTTCGTTAAAGCCAATACTAATCAAAGGAATGTATTCAAAAATGATTTTATCAGAACCATAAACATATATATTTTTGACAGAAATAAATTTAAAATTATTATCATCATCTATATTTTGGGTTAGTATGCTATTGATTTTGTAGCAAGTACCTTTAACAGTAGCCCAAGTAACAGGAAATAGTGTTTCTTTAGAATCGAGATTGAGTTCATTAATAATTTTTTTACATTTAATTGAATTAATGATCTTCCGAGGACCTACAACAATAGTAGCACACAGTTGACCCTTATAAAATGTTGCATTGAGCTGTAATTGATGTTTAATGGCTAACGTTAAACAAAGATTTCTTCTGTTAAACGACGACCTAGCACAAATTTTTAAAATTCTATGTTTTGCCTCATACCGCATTGCCCAAATATGACTAACAGGACCAAACTTTTTAATCATCGATGGGTAATGAACTAAGAAATGGAATTTTGGTTTAAGACAATTGTTACTGTATTTTAAATAAAGTTCATTAAGTTCTGCTATCAAAGTTTTTAATAAATAAATACTTCCTTCTTCAAGCACAGGCGATAACATAATATCTAAAACTTTACGTAAGGTAATATATAGAACCCAAACTGGTTCTTCAATAGGGATAAGATCACCAATAATTAATCCAAAATATCTAACTAGTATTAACATTTCAGATGCAGATTGTTTTACATTTCCTACATCAATGTGATCCATATTTATTGTACACGGTTTATTTTTCTCAGGACCAAAATCAAATGCAAATAATCTATCATTTAAAACTTGTAACGAAAATAATTTTAGGTCCTTGACATAATAAGATATAATAAAACCCATGATATACTTAGCGCATCCTTCAAGAATATCATGCATTATATCAACGCCTACTTGGTCAAATAAATTAAAATTTTTAACATCTAACCACACACATTTTTCTTTTATGCCAGTGGCACTTAGATTGTTCAGTTCTAAGTGCATATAATATTGATCAATAGACCTTAGTAGACTTTCATCTTCGTAACATTGAAATTTTAATTCATTTTTTTTTATAGTACAAATTCGACATGAATAGTTAGAGGAAAAACTTTCAGTAAAACCAATAATTGAGTGGATTCCTAAATTATCTCCAATGATTAATCCCAAGTCAAAGTACAATACACCTTTAAATACAGGAGTATCTATTTCTATACCAGTTTCTTGCAAATAATTTAGTTCATTAATTAAAGGATTAAAAATAACATTATTTCCAAATTCTACTCTATCACTAGAATGAAAAAGTAAAGCAAGGAAAATATTACTTAAAACTGATGTACGATGAGGTGGTATACATGGGATAGATACATACACTGCTCCCACTTTATGAACACCCGAATGACTCCCAAGTACATTACCACTTTCAAAGTCATCAAAGTACATAAAGAGCGGTAAAACGGTTTTACCATTAAATATTTTCATTCTGCTTTGCCAAAAGGTACCCTGAACAAAATTTCCTATAACACTTTTATCATTTATCATTAAGCTAGACAAGTATTCTAAGGTTTCACTAAGGACATTTTCAAGACAAAAAAATTGTTTCAGAACTTTTCTCAAGGGTATAAATTGTTCAGTACAGTTAATAGGTTCAAGAATAGACACACCTTTTTTAATTATTCTGTTTAAACGTTGGCCAATAATAATTTCTTTAGGTTCTACATAAGATTCTGACTCAGCAAAGTAACGAAATCTCTTATGTTCAGTTTTAAAATAAACGAAAGCATTCTCAATAATATTTCCAACATCATTAAACATAGAGCAATAATTTTCTGGAATTTTATTTTTGTTTGATACTTGTTCAACATATTTTGTAATGAAAATAACTATACCCTCAGAAAAAATCTGTTCCACACCATCAACAACTATTTGTATAACATTTCTAGGTATAATTGGATTAGCATATAAAGATGCAATAAAATTAGCAATAGACTTGTTCAATATTTCAGCGGGGTCAATAGTTTTAGTTTTATTTGCTGTATCTGGACTCTCGGGAGAAAAATCATTAGAGTAGTTATCAATATTTATAATTTTATCTGAAGGGAAATTGTTTCTTAACTCGGTTTGGGAAGTCGAAGGATGTGGTTCTTCATCTAAAATATGTTTTTGTAAATGTTTTCGGAAAGAGTTTTTTAGATTAAAAGACCTCAAGCACCCGTCTTCTGCACAGTAAAATGTATCAAATGTATTGCATGAATGTTGGAAATTGAAATGTGTAAACAAGGTATTAATGCTATTCTCAGTTTTAATTTACATAAAAAACAAGTAGGCATATTGAAAATTATAGATTATAATTAATATTTAACTTTATGGTAAACAATTAATATCTGACAAAAGTGCATTGACAACAGTAAAATTTTTATCCCATGGAGTAGTGATATTGTAAAATCCTTTTTGAATAAAACACCAAATTAATGCAGATTCCGTGGGATATTCGGCGTTTAGTGTTAAAATAACTTTAAAGCAACAATCAACTGCTGCAATTATTGTATTAAGGCGATAATAAGTGTTGTCAACAATTACCAAGTAACTGGATATTTCATTAATCGTTGGACCAACAATTACAATAAAAGGTTGCAATGTCTGTCCAAATGTTCTCAACTTTTCCCTTCTTCTAGTGACGGTTTCAAGAATCTCAGCATCACTTTTAACATGTGTTATGAAACCATCTCTGGCTTCGAGTTTAGAAGGTCGCCACAGTGCTTTTGATTTCTTAGCTCTTGTACTATTGACACCAATGATGAACGGGAGACATAGAAAAGCAACAATATTTGATGTTTCTTCTTTGTCTGCAATTATAAATGAATTGATTACTTTTAGGATTTAAGTAAAATGAACATTGTATACATAGGTATTTATGGGTATAATAAATCTATATATAATTGATATAGTATGAAATACCAATATATTAATATATCTATCAATAACTAACCTACAACATCAAACTGTAAATAACTGTTCAATAGTTCATTAGTGTCAAGTTCTTTTGATTTTCTGATTTTTTCACCTGCCAATTCAAATATTCGCCTTTTGTAAAGCGGCAAATTTTGATATAGCTTATCTGATGAGTTTGGAAATGCTGTATCAAAGTCCTTTAAAAACTTAACAACAAAAAAACATAACAATATGTATAAGTATTAATATTTCAATATAGTGAGTTAATACTTGTTATATTACAAAAGATATTCAAATAAACAATTTAAAAAATAAAAATTTGCACAAACGCCAAATTAATGGTATAGTAATACAGTATTAATATTTAATAGTATAAAGTGTTGTTACACTATTAAATATTAATATTACTAGCCCCCCCCCCCCCCCAAAAAAAAAAAAAAAAAAAATTTTCCTCCGTTCACCCCTGAAATCAAATTAATAACTAACATAAAAATACCATATTATTGTTTATGATTTATTGAATTTTACCAGTAGCTCCAGTCTGAAACTATTAGTTTTAATTACATTTATATAACACTATTAGCATAATATGTGATTGTTTTTGTTTTAAATTAGTTCTTCACATATGGGTTTTATATTAATTTATTGTTGTTTAAATGTTGCCTAATAATATAATACAGAACACCATACTTACAAGAAGATAGCCAGTTGGTTTTTTTAAAGCAGGATACTCTGTCATGTACTGTACTATTGATTGTCCATCATCTTTTGAAGCAATTTTGTTCAAACGGATATGAACAGTTTTATCCCAATTCTCTTCTACTAACTTCCACGGATCACTTGAGTTTCTCAACCACTTCAGGTTTTCTTCTACATCTTCCTGAGGGTTGATGGTCGCAAATCGGTTAAG